AATGATTTCATACAGCCAAGACAAAAACGTGCATTTAGGGAGGTATTGCATTTATAGAGGTTGCATTTAGAGAGGTCCGACTGTAGTTGTATTAATCTTTATTCACTCAAAGACAATAGTGCTCAACCAGTTAGTTCTCTATCTGCATATTTTTGTACCCAACTGGTTAATTCTCTATATCTGCATATTTTTGATATTGAAAAAAATTATATTCTTTTTAATAAGCATTGCAGAGTAAAAAACCTATAATTATCATAGTAAATCATTAAGTGCTGTTACTGGCTTTTACTCTGCAATACTCAAACCTAATTTCGTTTAGATAATAGTTGCAAGGTAAAAATAGTTTATTTGTGTCTAATTTAATTATCTTTTACTCAATCTAAATATAACCTTGGGCTAATGTAAGGTTTTCTTTATTTTACTAGCACCATTTTTTTTTTGAATAGCACCCTTTATTCACGATAATATTATATTTGAAATTCATACCAAACAAGTCTGTATTTTCTTTATTGTTTTTGTTGGGGAAGAGAGCCGATCATTTACTAATCACTTCTTCCCATTTAATGTAAATTATTACGTACATACGTATGTACCTTACACCCCTTGCTCTTCCACAAAAAATTGATCATCCCCTGTAATTTTGACCAATTGAATTTAGGATCAGGTTTAACATAAAAATTGAAACGAACCTATTTTTTACAAAAAAACATGAATAACTTTAAATTTAATTAAGAAATCACCTTCTGCGGCCTAATTAAAAATGTTCCTTGTGATGTTTTACTAATAGACATTATACTGTTCTAATCCTAACCCTAATTATAACACGGTTTTCTTGGTTTTCATTTTACGCGTAACTTTTTTACTTAGAAAACAAAACACATTTGTTTTGACACCTGATCTTAAATTTTGATTGGTCAAAATTACTGGGGATGAACAATTTTTTGTGGGGACCTGCATATGGGCGATAAACTTCATAAACATGACCAGTATCTAAACAAACTTAAAAATCGAGGCACAAATCGGGTTTTTTAAAATAACCCAAATTTTCAAAATAACCCGGTTTTATTAAATTCGAAAATCGAATTTAATAAAACCGGGCTTATTTTGGAAATCGAGTTTAATAAAACCGGGCTTATTTGAGAAATCAAAATTAAAAATCCGGTTTTATTTGATTCGATTATCGAATTTGAAAAAATTCAAGCCGAATTTAATTCGAATCGGGTTCATCAAACCGGTTCCAACCTCTACTCCGAGTTACGTTAATATCAATGTTTTTTTTTACAAGTACTTCTGGGGTAGAAGAATGGGATACAGGAGTGTTAATCGATTTTTTGCGCAAAGCAAAACAAAAAGTTGAAGCTAAAGGTGAATCATTTTTCTACTCTTTGTAACCAAGAAGTTGCCGGTTCAGATTTCCTTCTATTGAATAGAGATAAACTTCTTGCTCATCCTTACAACTTTCCTGATGGTCCTGCAACGAGGATTTAAGTCAAAAAAATCAAGGGCGAGGACCAGGGTAAGTAGTACCACGACTGCATTCGAATATTCCAAACCTATACTGCTTTCTCCGCAATAATTTCATTTATTAACTTACCTTATACGCTTATTCTTATCACATAGAGCAAAAGCTTCAAGGTTTGTTAATTTATGCAGTCCTAAAGGCTTTATATTCTCGCGCTGAAGAAATATGGGAATGACTAACTATTTATTTTCTTTATTTTTCACAGTGTTTTTTCTTTACTGCTATCAAACGCGAAAAAAAATAACCAACTTATGTGTATTATCTCCTCCATATTGGTAACACCCTCCAAATTAGTAGCATCAGAAGGTAAGTTTTAATTTTCCTTATCTGTCTTTTTCCCTCTGCTCTCATTCTGACTATTTCATTCTTATAGATATTACCGTTGAAATAATAAAGCAATTAACTCAAAGTCCTGGTCAACTTCCTTATAAATCTGACTTGGCAAATTTCCTTAACGAAAATCCTCCAGTAAAAATACCGCTTTCCCCTGATCATTATTACCAGTTTAGTACTACAGGTCGCGATGCCATAACTAAAAAACGAACGAGATACATATTTTGTATTAAGCACAGAAGTGGATTGTACAATACTTTATTCAAGTTTTATAGTGCAGTTAATTTACCCTCCTTCTTATGGAAAAAACTGA